GAGCGGCTTCCTAAACGAGGGAGTGCACTGTTTTGTTTGCCGACCCCTCAGGATAGCAATGCGCATTCGTGATGGCCTCCATTCATGAGAGTGGCCAATGACAAAGGTTCTTACTTACTTACTGAACTTAGCGCCTGCATACGAGCTGATTGAATCGTTCCGTCTCCACGGTGGAGGTGCTCTTCTTTCTTCTGGCTGCCAATCCGTCATTAAATCACGACCCGTGGGTCGTCGCCCCGTCTGGCCGCGACGAGCCCTGCTCCAAAAGCCAGACCTGTCAACCCATTATATCAGTCCCCTACCTTGTTACAGACAAACTCAGACCTCAAGTGTTTTATATTATTTGATTATTTTACTTATATTGTTATTTTTATATTATTTTTATTATTTTATTACTTCCCTTCTACGTAACTTTACCGAAAGAACCAAGAATATGAATCCATGCAGTCACGAAAGCTTTAAATCAAAATTTAAGATCTAATTTATTCGTAAATCTTCTTGGTTCTTTCGGTAAAGTCACGTAGAAGGGAAGTAATAAAATAATTAAAATAAAACATAATAAAATAATTATCACGACGTTTCGGCCACAACACAAGCAGCCATCCTCAGGTTTAAGCATTAAATCGAAATTTATTCGTGAGCTTCATTAACGAGATAAGCACTTTCAAGTTACGGTCAGAAACGTTTCTAGTTTATTACTAACGCGGTTATATTGTACACCTACAAAGTGTACAGCTAATGCAGTTGTACACAATTACATGCCTGTCAATCCCTTATCAGTGCCCAACCTTATCACAAACCAATTCCTACCTTATCGCAAACCCCGTGTCCCTTACAAATCCCCAACGTTGATCCCACAAAGTCCCACCGCGAGGGAGAAACACAAACAAATAGTCAAACATGTTGTTGCCCGTATTGAAACGGCTGTACGCCGTACGGACCTGAAAACTCGAATTCCCTGCACAAGAACACGAGACACACCACCGTATGGGTTGACAGATATTCCGAAAGTCCACCGACGTGTTTGTAATTAAGATCGAATTATTCTCACTTAAAATGATGGCTGAAACAGAGGCACCGATAACACCATCATCATTAAAACCTCGATTGTGGATGATAATGGTCGCCAAAGCCGACGTGTTAAACGAACTCATGATGATGATGTTACGTCCAGACTTTACACACCGTGCGCTTGGTGTAATAGCGGCCTCTTGTGGCGCAATACTGGCATTTACAGAAGAATATCCGTGCAATTTACCATACAGGACTCGGTTGTTGTTGTGCGGCGCCCTCTTGTGAGAATATTTCGCTATTCATTGACATGGTGTAAAAGACAGGTGTTTAGAATTGGGCAAACTTTTGAAACGAACTGGACAAATCCGTTTTAGTTTACTGTATTTGATTCATTACACGGATGACCCCGTTTAAGCAGTCGCCAGGATATTTTACACGGGACATCCGTGGTGTGTGAGCACAGCAGCAGCAGCAACAGCAAAGCTAGGACAAACAAGTTCAAGTTCAAGTTCATTTATTAGGTAGAGCCCTGTGAGCCATTCGGCTCTTGAATCGGGTGCAACCGCAACAAACAAAAAACATGAACAAGAAAACATCTTAAAGTGACTATGTGACTATGTGCAAACAGAAAATCCAAGAAAAGACAGCAAAATATTGCAGAAAAAGCACCGTACACCAACGCTGTGTGCAAAAATCCCAGTGGGATGCAAGTCAAACAACAACCACAAGACAACTTAGATTAAAGCCATCATTCTAACTCCGTACTACAACAAATAAACATGGCCAAACCAAAAAACTTTTCGAAATCACCAAAATAAAGCCATAAAAGCAATGAAACAGTGATCATATTATCATCATAATTGCAGAGAACTAACAATAATAATATAAAACACGCAATGCAAATATAATGTCAGAGCAAGAGGCGCCAGAAAAAGTATGGCACAGCTGCAAAAGTAAGCGCTACATTTGAGTCTAACAGCGACATTAACACACAACGCGAATTAAATCAAACGACAATCTGAGCATGTTGGAGCAAGAGATGCCAGAACACGGTTAGGTACATGTGCAAGTACGCTCTGAGTCGTGGTGCAATAGGGATTATAAAGAGCGCCCCAGTGAATGGGGGGGGGGGGGTGTAACCAAGCTGGAGATGAGCGGCAAGGGTCCAATAAGTGAGCCTGCCGATCTTCGTCTCGTATTAATGTCACAATCACAGTGGCCTGCATCCTGCCGGCGAGAGTCTGAGTCTCAGGACTCGTTTTGAAGAGGGTTCCGCCATGGGATATTTCTCCCAATTTTTTTTTCAAATGAGTGTTTTGCCTGTAAGAGGAAACAGGCAGTCGCGATCTACCCACTGCTGCATGAAGGCGTCACCCAGTCTCGCACCCATCACCACCTCGCATCGGCACACCACGATCTCGTTCCGTAGCTCCACCTTCACGGTGGACATCGTCTTGGTTGCGCGCCCGCCCTCTCTGGACTGCCTCTGCGCTGTCGGTCTCGACCGTGCGCCTCTGCACGCTTCTCTGGCCACGTTTCAGATCTTGTTGCACAGCGTTGCAATATGCACTGATTGTAAACTTTCTTCTTTTGGGGAATTCGTCATTTGTGTTTCATTGACAAGGTGATGTTTCCATCCTACCTGCCTATGTCAGCTGTTATTTCCGACTCTCTCTGTGTGTGTCTCTCTCTCTCTCTCTATGCTTCTCTCTTAGATCTCTCATGCTCACATGTCCTTTGCATTGCACTCACATATCCTTTGGATTTTACCACTCTTCGATTTTACATTAACATGCTAATTTCTCACATTAACATAGCCACTTCCGTGCCCTCGTCGAGGAGGCCGCTCTCCTCCTATCTTACAGTTACATGATAATTTCTCAAATTAACATCACTAGCCCCGGCCACATCTTTATGACCCTTGGGCTACACCCATTTCAAACCTTTTAAAACAGTCTGCATCAGCAGCAGACCATGCTTTCCCACCTGATGATGGACGCTTTTGTTGCGCCCGAAACGTCGTGATTTATTTTATTTTATACCTACGTGACTTTACCGAAAGAACCAAAGAGTAAGGTTTAGCTCTTTAATAATAATAGAATCAGAATATGTATTTCTACTGGAGTAATCCGATGAGCTATAAAGCTCTTTTTCAGAGATGTCCAGTATAGGGTCGGGTCAGAACGTTCTAGGAATCTCGTTTGTGGATTTACTCGGGGTACTCCAGTTCCCTCCCACGTGGAATTCATTGTGGCTCAGTGAGCCTGACCTAGTCAAATAAAAATACATTCATGAATAGTGTTTTCCCCAAACAAATATAATGTCTCATTGGAACCTCATTTGCCAGTAAAAAATATGATAATTGTTTTTTTACCCTTCTATCTGGCAACAAAACTGACACCTTTTTTATAAGGAGTCATGTTTGCATAGACCACAATACCTGCAGTCATAATGCAAACAAAAAACATAACTCTGATAATGTATGCACTGTCCTTGAAGTTGATTGGTCCACACCCGAGACAAACTAAAAGGTGTCAGTTTGTTGCCAGATAGAAGGATAAAAAAACAATTATCATATTTTTTACTGGCAAATGATTTTCCAATGGTGTAAATGCTTACCCCGAGCTCTCATACTCTGATGGTGCATTGTCTTTGAGTTGTGCGCCTTTTGGCGTCATCTGGTCCAACACCATGTGAGACTAGGCTCTATGGAAAGCTGTCTCGGGTGTGGACCAATCAACCTCAAGGACAGTGCACGTACATTATCAGAGTTATGTTTTTTGTTTGCATTATGACTGCAGGTATTGTGGTCTATGCAAACATGACTCCTTGTAAAAAAAGGTGTCAGTTTTGTTTCCAGATAGAAGGGTAAAAAAACAATTATCAAATATAGTCTGCCGGCCGAGTCGCCTTCGCAAAATTCTTCTTAGCCCAATAGGCTTTACTCAGGACATACACTTTATGATTCTGATATGCCTAATTTAACATCTCAATGCAGGAACCCCTTTGAAAAAAAACATCTCGAGACTCGGTGAAGCTTTACTGGCTAATTAACTGGAATGATCCTATTAATAATTATTACTTCTACTATAAGTAGATATACAGTACTATAAATTGGACAATCACTCCGATGTAGGACTTTTATGAACGGGAGTATTTAGCCTCAGTGAGGCTTTCCTGGATGAATTCCTGTTATAATCATCTTCTTGTTATTATAGTACCGTATGTACATACAGCATGTAATGAATTGACTCAAAAAGCAAATTAACGACCCTTGTGTAAACAAAAACCACGTAACAATTGAGAATTAGTGAGGCATATCTCATGGGCAGGAATTGGACTTGCTGTAGTACTTCTGAGTGCGTACATCGCGACTTGGCCAAACATCCCAATGCAGCACACACGAGAAGAACACAAATATATAATAATAATTTTGAGACTCCTTGAAGCTTTCTTGCATAAAATAATTGGCATCAATTATAATAAAGTTTTTTTTGGGGTTAGATCGCGTACATATTGTTTTATATATCATATGTTTTTATTGACGCGATCTAACCCCCCAAAAAACGTCTATTATGGGTAATATCGGTGGAAATATCATACTACGTGTAAAACTGATCACCATCATTAACATCACTACAGAGTGTGAAACAATAAGAATAGGTTTTGTTTTCCCTTCCTGGCAATAAAACCAGTGTTAAGATGTTCAAACACCAAACAGAAACCCTTTTTTTGCAAGGGATCAACCACTGCATTAACCACACACAGCACCATGCGGTACGCATGCAAACCAACCACAGAGTCCGTTCACGTCCGTGCATTCGCTGAGGCTGCGGGAAGCGTGGAGAGGAACCAACTCCCACCCCCCTCCACTCCACCTCCACCTCGTCCCTCCTCCCCTGGGCCACGTCGCACCGCGCGTTTAAAAGGCAGCGGCGGCCCCCACATCCTCGCGGTCACCACCGCATTGTCCGCGAAATGTTGGCGCGCGCAAACGAGATCGATTTAGCGGCGCAGCGGGTAGAACGCGCACGGCTGCTGTTGTTGTTGTCATTGGTAGTTCATCGGCGTCACCGATTTAGCTCGGTTGGCTACGTACGGCGCGAAAGAAGTTCAACATACATGCAATCAGCAGCATCGTCGTGATGCTTGCGTGCTACTCATGACGACGCCGTTCTCTGGCTTCACCGCCCGAATGTGAAGTTGTCGCTTTGCGTCTCAGCCAGCCAGACGAAGGAAAACGAAGAAGAAGCTCATCATCATCATCATCGCTCGCGTTCAATTTCCCCTACTCGACGGAGACTTCCGCCAGCCATTAGCCATCGCTCATGATCCCTCGTGAGATGTAGCGACTATTGAACCTCTGCATTACCACCGGCCCAACCAGTGGATTTCATCGCTCCATCCTCGCCACTCCGACCGGCGCCACAGTCTCGATCGCCAGCACGCCGCGCCAGGTACGTACGTATCTTGAACTTCTTTCGCACCGTACGCAGCCAAACGTGCTAATCGGCGGTGCCCGGGGTGAAGGAACACAAAAAAACACGAAAAACGCCGTTCTGAAGAAGTCAGTTTTTCAACGTCGGTGATTTAAAAGTGCATAAACCCAGTGGCTTTCGAATATCTCTCCGAGCGAAGTTGTCCTCCTGCCCAAGCGTACCCAGTTCCTGCTCCACCGTGCAGGTGACAGGAGATCATCGATGAAAGTACCTGGAGACATGTATCGGTTGCAGTGGACATTGTGTGCGCGCAATTATTTGTTGTTATTGTAGGGACAAAACGCAGGGATGACATGCGGATAATACAAAAAAAAAATCTAAGTGTGCGTCGAGCATGGCATTAAGCCATGCGTATACAAGTAAACAATTTAAACTATACATTTGTATTTTACCAGGTAAGACCCGCTGAGCTATACAAAGCTCTTTTTCAGAAGCGACCTGTCCATTAGCTCAACGAAGTGGCTTAATGTCGCGTGGAAATGCATCCCAGCTAAACACTCCAAATCGCGCGGTGTTGATTCTAAATTTGGAGGGGGAAAACCCGGAGGACCCGGAGAAAAATCCACGCGACCACGGAGAGAACACGCACACTCCAAATGTACAGGCGTGAAGGTCGGGATGGAACCCAAGACTTCCTGTATACCAGGCGAGGTAGTTAACATCTCGCCACCGGGGCGCCCTCAAGTAACTGGTAGTGGCAGGGGGGGGGCAGCTCACTTTTTATCGGGCTTAGCGTCACACTCCATGGCAGATGCATTACTTCGTTTTCTGATGATGATAAGGACGGTGATGTTGGCTAACCACCCACGTGTAAGTTGCCTGGCACGAGACTCGGTTGCAACGGACTTGATGCTGACCCCAGGGCACTGTGGGTGGAATCATCGTGGGTGGATTCCTCTTGGCGGTGGCGATTGGCGGCTCTGCTGTTGATTGTATCCCTTGTATCCGTGCTTATCCACAAATGTGCGTCGCCTTTTTCGGGACGTCGTATGTGGGTAGTTATTCGTGAAAATGTCCCTCTTGTTTGGCTAAAATAACGTAGATAGCAGGGGCTTCTGTGTATTATAGCGATGGTGGAAATCGTGGGAGGTGGCAACGGCTTGGGGAGGAATTCATTCAGCAGTGGATTGACCTGTGGCTGATGCTCATGAACAGGAGTTTCTGATCGCTTATAAGAAAAATGCCACTGTGATTAGGATTATTATTATTCGATTACGATAAATCAGCCTTCGAACACATCACCCAAAATGTGCTCGATGTCGTCAAATCTCGGAAGCTAAAACAGGTATGAGCCTTCTTCTTGGTTCTTTCAGTAATGTCACGTAGAAGGGAAATAATAAAATAATAAAAATAAAACATAATAAAAAAAGAATTCATTCAGACGCTGTCTTTCCGACAGGCCTGTTCTTCACCTGAGGACGGCTGCTTGCGTTGTGGCCGAAACGTCGTGAGAATTATTTTATTATGTTTCATTTTTATTATTTTATTATTTCCCTTCTACGTGACTTTACCGAAAGAACCAAGAAGATGAATCCCTGCAGTCACGAAAGCTTTAAATCGAGGTATGAGCCTGGAAAGTACTTGGATGGGCGGCCATCGTGTATAAAGTAGCTATTATGAGCTGCTGCTGCTGCTTGCGGGGGTTATGTTGCCAGCAGAGGGCAGTCCAGCAAAATCTATCGATTTACCGTGCTACGTACGGTGCGAAAGAAGCTCAACATGCATACTTACATTGACTAAGCTCCCCGCCTTCAAGCTGCACTGGCCAGAATCACAATCTTTATTTATATCCTGGAGAAATCCGATGAGTTATGAGGCTCTTTTTCACATCAGTCCAGCATGGTGAAGTATGCTCAAATAGCCCCTATGGTCCGCACGCTGTGAGGAGGCCCTCATCCAGCAGTGGACTAACACATTGCCATGGGGTGAGCACATGTAAACAGTGTGCGACTCGGTCATGTGTCCTCCTCCTCCTCGTCCTCCACCTCTTACATGTCATCATCCTCCAACCTCTTCCTCTTGGTACTCTGTTACACCTTCTCCTCCTCGTCCTCCTCTCTGTCCTCCTGCTCCTCCTACTCTGACCTCCTCCTCCTCCTCTCCATCCTCCCGTGCAGGCAACGGTGAGGGACCAGATGACACGGCGGCATCCACGATGAACACCGAGGCAATGCTCCTCGTCGCCATCCACAGCGTGATCACGGCATTCGGCGTGGTGGTGAACGCACTGATCATGGTGGTGATCGCCAACACGGCGTGCGCCTACGAGTGCCTGCCGCCCTCCGACGCAATCCTCGTCAACCTGGCGTTCGTCAACCTCCTCATCAGCGTGGTGCGCAACGGGCCGCTCCTCTTCTGGGACGCGGGCGTGCGCATGTCGCTGAGCGACATCGGCTGCAAGCTGTGCATGGGCGTCTGGGTGGTGACGCGCTCCGTGAGTGTGTGGACCACGCTGACTCTGAGCATGTTCCACTACCTGATGGTGAGCAGGCGTCACACGAGCGTCAAGGGCAAGACGTCCGCCCTGCGCAAAGCGGCGCTCACGCTGCTCTGCGTGTGGGCTGCCAACGTGCTCTTCAGCCTGCCCGCTGTGGTCTTCTCCGGCAACAGCGCGGGCAACTTCACCGAGCGGCTCATGCTCGTGAGCGGGACCGTTCGCCCGCTGCTCGGTTGCGTGCTCCGCTTCGCCAGCGCACGCGAGGGCCTCGCCTACACCACCGCGTCGATGATCATCAACGAGATCGTGCCCATCGTGCTCATGGTGACGGTGAACATCAAGACGCTGCTCATCCTCCACCGGCACCGGCGGCAACTGCACGTGGCCAGCCTCATGCCGTCGCGCGTCTCCACCGAGGTGAAGGCGGCCAAGGTGATCATGGTGGTCGTGACCATATTCGTGGTCTGTTGGGGCATCCACGTGTTTGCGATCAACTACTACAACTACCGGCAAGACGAGGACCTGGATTGGCTCATCTCGCTCGCCAGGTTCTCCACCGCCATCAACATCAGCCTGGGCCCGTTGATTCTCGTGGTGGGGCACGGCAAGCTACGCTCGCGAATCAAGCAATTTTTGCTATTGATCTGTAAGTGATTGTGAGACGGGGCACGGCTGGGCGCGTCCCTGCAATGTCTGCACGCCACTGCCCGGTGGAAAGGCCTCAGCTAGAGGAAGCTATCCAGAGCCCCCCTAGAGAATATTTAGGTCTACTCTTCCACACGGACAAGACGTCTCGGAAGAGGGTAATGCTGTAGAAATAACGGGGAGGGCCTTCATCCAGCAGTAGATTGACAAAGTGCTAAGTCATATCTTATATGAATAATTAATCGCATATATACGTATCCAAGAAAACTCACTCAATCTTTATACTTTTTTCAGGATGGCCCTGCTACATAGAGATGCTTTGGCTATTCTATTCATGAGTGACTGGCTTGTGGGAAGAAAAAAAACACTAAAAACCCGGAGAAAACCCACACATTTAAAAGGCTAACACCCAGAGCTCCCCAGAGATAGTTTCAAAAATCTATTGCTGCCGTACTATCCCATAGCTACCTCACAACCCGAAAATATTAATGAAAATGCAGCACATTCGTCAATAATACTGTGGCTTCAAATGTACAAAATATATATAATAGACGACGTTTTGAGCAATGGCCCTTCCTCATAACACACCCTCAGATATGATAAAGTCTGGTGCAATATGGGTGATTTGGCATAGGCATTATATATAAAAATTTAACCCGTAAAAACAAAGTTTTTCACTATAAATCCTTTGCATGCGTGGCGGCTAGAGTCCTCTCGTCCTCTGGCTTGAGATGGCTGCCACCTATGGGTCAGATGATTGCCTGCCACCATTAAGCAATTGGTAATTAAATATATAAAAAAATCCCTAAAAAGTGGAAAAAAATTTTTACGAAAATAAATTGTCACGCACAACGAGTCTGTGTGCAAAATGTCAGCTCGATTGGACCACTGGAAGTGGGATAAAAAACGACCGAAAGATTTGCACGGTCGTAAGCACGCAAGCAAGTGAACTTAATATAAAGGATTAAATAAGTATAACCAGTAAAAACTAAGTTTTTCACTCTAAATCCTTTATATGCGTGGCGGCTAGAGTCCTCTCGTCATCTGGCTTGAGATGGCTGCCACCTATGGGTCAGATGATTGTCTGCCAGTATTAAGCAATTGGTAATTAAATATTTAATTGGTTTTCCCTAAACAGTGTAAAATTTTGGAAAAAAAATTTGGAAAAAATTTTACACGAACATTAATTGTCTCGCACAACGAGTCTGTGTGCAAAATGTCAGCTCGATTGGATCACGGGAAGTGGGATAAAAAACGACCGAAAGATTTGCACGGTCGTAAGCACGCAAGCAAGTGAACTTAATATAAAGGATTAAAAGAAAAATCGCGACGAAGGCGGGATTCGAACCCACGCGTGCAGAGCACAATGGATTAGCAGTCCATCGCCTTAACCACTCGGCCACCTCGTCTCACGCACTCACACACGCAAGCACATACAACCAGAACCAGGATAAAGACTTGCACGCACATACATACAAACAGACCCCCCCCCCCCCCCCCGCTCCACACACACACAGTCATACCATTATTTTTTCCTAAAAAGTGTAAAATGTTGGAATTTTTTTCATGAAAATACATTGTCACGCACAACGAGTCTGTGTGCAAAATGTCAGCTCGATTGTATCACGGGAAATGGGTTAAAAAACGACCGAAAAATTTGCACGGTCGTAAGCAAGCAAGCAAGTGAACTTAATATAAAGGATTTAAAAACAATACAAATGACGAATTGTGAATAAATATAGAATTGGTACTCTTAGTTCTTTCGGTAAAGTGACGTAGGTAAAAAATGAAATTAAAATTAATAAAAAATAAAATAATAAAATCACGACGTTTCGGAAGCAACACAAGTCTCCTTCATCAGGTGGGACCGTCACAGCCAGATTTGCTGCATCACTTGATGGGACCGTCACAGCCAGATTTGCTGCATCACTTGATGCAGCAAATCTGGCTGTGACGGTCCCACCTGATGACGGAGACTTGTGTTGCCTCCGAAACGTCGTGATTTTATTATTTAATTTTTTATTAATTTTAATTTCATTTTTTACCTACGTGACTTTACCGAAAGAACTAAGAGTATGAATCCTTGCAGTCACGAAAGCTTCAAATCTAGAATTAAAGAATTGGTATTTTCTTGGGGAAAGCCATCCCTTGAGAATAAAAACTTCATATTTTTTTGGGCTCACCGACAGAGGAAAGCAACTGTAATGTTGTATCATTAATCTCACATTGTCATGGACGGAAGTGGCAATAATTGAACTCGTTTTACGGCGTCAATGCAACGTTGCAAATAGCAAATACGCAGCCCGCGCACTGGAAAACATTCTGAAAGTGGTTGCGTGAAAGCGTAGAGCTGTTTGCACAGTGGTCAAACCCAGCGATGTTTTCGTAATGCCTTTGTTCACATTGTGAAGGACACGGAGGGACGTTCTATGCGGTCTCACTGTTTAATAATACGACACAAAACACAGTGCGACAGACTGGGCAGAGGGCGTTTTCCATGCAATGTATGACTACACTCCTGCCTGCCTGATTTCATTCACGCGGTATATGTTACACTATACGCTACTGCTGCATACGCAATGCAACGAGGATCCGTGTACATGAATGAATGTGAAGTCAAATATTTTGTGAACATAAAAGAAAATGAACACGTTCAGACGTTGCACTTTGTTTTGTTGAATAAAGTTTAATCTTTGGTTACGTAACCACGCAGTTTGTTATTTTACGTCTCTCTATTCATTATATATAATGTGGCGTGTGGCTATAGTAGGGATGCTGCTATGTTGTAATGGTTTTGCGCACGGGACTTGCAATCCGGAGATCAACGGGTTCGATCTCCAGGCGCGGCAGCTGATAGCGACGGCGCAAGTTTCTCAATTCTTCCCCCCATCACCCCCCGGTGACTGTCCACCGCAGCGGTGCAAACGGCAGGCGATTGGAAGGTCGAGCGTTGTGGAGTCACGCCTCTTGTTCGAGACGTCTGGAGCTCTCCAGTGTCACTTTATTTCACCCTCCAAATAGAGGGAGCTGCGGTTAGCAGGGTTTGGCTGCGTACGGTGCGAAAGAAGTTCAACGTACGTGCGTACAGCTCTGCTCTGGATGTCCTAAAAAAAAGCGGGAGCACCCACACTTTACCCCACCACACGCCACAGTATTTGGCCTACTCTTCTACGCTCCCGAGAATTAGCTCGAGTGGACGCCCCTTCCTCCAGCGGTGGCATCAGCAAGCGATTGCAGGGCTGCACCTTTGCCCTTGCCGTTGCGGCCACAGCACACACGTGACCCCAAATGTTGACTCTTACATTGTAGACGCGATGAGTGAAGTTTTCTGTGATGTACATTCTGGACACGCACACAAAGCTCCCCACGTGTAGCCTTGAAGAGAATATTGGGCTATGAAGGCCGGCACGGCACACAACGCAATGTAATATTAACAATGTCCCGCCTCTTGTCAATCCATTGCATTGCCACCATTTAGCGGGCTCCCGATGTAACGATCCATCTCTAGCTGATGCCATTGCTCCATCTGTGCAGTGGTCGCAATCACCCCTTTGACTGCCACGCATGCTTCAGTCTCAACCATTATCTATTCAAGCGATGTGTCCTGCCCAAAACCCCTAGCAATCATCATGAAGTCTTCATGTTGGGTGTCTCCTCTGCTCCACGTGTCCCGCAATTGCCGCTCAGTTGCAGGGGCGGTTTCTTCATTAGGGCGATTGGGCGACGCACCACCAATGTCATTCAACCACAGAGTCACGCTAGGCGTCACTGCCTCTGGATATAGTCCAATCAGCGTCATGTCACGTTCTGTGGAGTACCGCCTCTTTTTGGGCGATTTCACTCCGGCTGAGAATCGCCCCGAGTGGCCCCATAGACTTACATTCAAAGATGTTTTTTTCGATCGGGGGGCGCTCCAATGCATTCTCTATGGCTTCCGGGAGGGCTCGCCCTAACGTGCTTACGTCATCATACGTAAGCACGTTTCATCCAACAATATAATTTGTCGCCACCTAGTGGAATCTTTAATAAATGAAACTTGAGTGGATTGTATTAAAAGTGAGTATAGAAACAAACAAGATGTATTGTAAGAGTCACTTTATTTTTCATTAATATTAAAGAAGTGAAGTTGCATTTACATGCTTAAGCTGTTAATTTATCCATTGCATGGGTGGACCTTATCCTTATCAATCATCCAGACATTTGCCCCCCCTGAGAGATTTTGCAGGAGCCGCCACTGCTCAGTTGGCTACGTACGGTGCGAAAGAAGTTCAACATTCATACAAGTGTGCTCCTCTCCACGTTTCACTGCGCACGTTCCAGCTACTCATCCATGTTTGCTCGCGTCCATATTTACAACCCATGCGTCATACACGTTTACACTCTATCTTTAATTAGTTTCAACACTTTCAACACGGTGCAATTATCTACAGTATACGATAACCATAATCCCCAGTAATGATTTGTGTTGCAACGGGTGCTGTAATTGGCACCGAGAGGATGACCATGATGCCGAAGGTGCCACGTGTGGCGTGAATTGTTAATTAATGAGGGATCCCATCCCAGCCCTTCCCTCCTCTTCTGTCCGCCCCCTCTCTCTGTGCCCCCCCCCACCCCGCCCCTCTTTGTCCCCCGCCCGCCGTTCAAGAGCTCTCAGCATCTCAACACAAAGCCCCAAGGACTTTATTAGTGTCGGATGTACTTTGAGCTTTTCCGCTGCCTCGGAAAGGTTTCCCTGTTTGATAAATTGGCCATCCAGGTGAATTTTGCCGGTGGTGGTGCTGGTGGTGTTGATGGTGCTGCTGATGGCGATGCTCCTCGTGGTGATGGTTGTATTCACGATGATGCTGGTGGTGGTGCGTGTGGTGATGGTTGTGCTGGTGGTGGTGATGTTGCTGGTGGTGATGGTTTATGCATCATCAGGTGAGTGCATCAAGTAACGACTACATCACGTGGTAGGAATCGAGGAAATAACGTCTGAGAAACTGATGACCCATAACACCAATTCTTAA